TCCGTAATTAATATTGATTCTGATATACAACAACCAACTCCTAGTCAAAATATGTCTGAGAGTACAAGTAAATCTACAGAGCCCAAGGATGACAGAACGCAAGGTACAAGTGGTAACAGTGATCGAGTACCAAAGAAAGGTATTGCACTTATTGGGGATTCAATAATCAAAAATATTAGTCCGGTAAAACTCTCAAAAAGGAAAGTTTATAAATTCACATATCCAGGTAAAACAACTATAGAAATAACTAATGAGCTTGCCAAAATTAATATTAAACCGGACCCGTCTCATGTTGTTATTCACGCAGGGACAAATGATGTCCCTGTTGAATCTATAGACGAATATGTTGGTAACATGGAAAAACTTATTACAACAGCTAAACAGAAATTCCCTAATTCTAAAATTGGAATTTCTGGACTTACATTGAGACAGGATAGTGATTTAATATGAAAAATAGAAGAAATTAATGAGAAAGTTCAGAGTTTGTCATCTAAGCATGATGTGACATTTATAAGTAATATGTCAATAGATGAGACATGTTTGAACTCTAGTGGCCTGCATCTAAATGCAAAGGGACTGCCATACTAGCTACACATTTTATTAAGTTCCTTAGGGATGGGCAATCCTTACGTTCACTGCGCCCACAAAAACATTCCCGTCAGGATTTTCCAAAGAACACGATAAACCATCTGGCAGAACTACTAAATGCGATAATGAACGTGAACAAGTAAATTGTCAAGATGTGCCAAGCAATTCTTTATTAGGCATAGATAGTGAAATTAATATAATCGCCAAATGTAAAGGTTTGAAGATAGCCAACTTAAATGTAAATAGCTTAATGAAACATCTGGATGAAATTCGCTTAATCCTTAACAATAACGCCCTTGACATTCTTGCAATTAATGAGTCCAAAATTGATAATCAGATTTCAAATAATGAGATACATATTGATGGTTTTAATATAATTCGTAAAGATCGAAATAGGTTTGGTGGAGGTGTGGTTCTATATGTTCGCCAAAACATATCATTCTCAGTTAGAATAGATCTAATCCCTGATGAACTTGAGATGGTCTGCATTGAATTAAGTTTACCCTACAATAAATCACTGCTAATAAGCACATGGTATAGATCAACAAATTCTCATATGAATATATTTGATTACTGGGCAATGCAAAATGTGATAATGAAGATAAGGAGCTAATCCTCATAGGAGATCTAAATTGTGATGTCAGTAAAACTATACCTGACCCTCACACATGTAAGTTGCAATTTTTATGTTCTCTGTATCAGATAGACCAACTTATTAAAGAATCTACAAGGCTAACTCCTAAATAAGCTACACTAATTGATTTAATATTAACAAATAGACCAGAAAATATTTCCAGATCAGGTGTCATTCACCTGGGAATTTCAGATCACAGCCTTGTCTACGCTGTGAGAAAATTTACACTACCGAAAGGAAGGCAAAAAATTCGTCAGGTTCGTAACTTTAAAAAGTTTGTCGAAAATGATTTCATTCGGGATGTGTCTCAATTGCCTTGGGAGATGGTCTATCAGTTTGGAGATCCCAATTTATGTTGGCAAGTCTGGAAATCACTATTATTAGATGCACTTAATAGACATGTCCCTCTGCGCCACAAGCGAATAAGGAATAACCCTGTCCCATGGATTAATCCTCAAATTAAAGAACTTATGAGAAAAAGGGACTATCACAAAAAAAAAAGGCCATAAAATATGATTCGGAGTCACAGTGGGAATTGTATAAAACACTACGTAATGAAGTAAATATAAACATGCGGAAAGCAAAATCTAAGTACTTTTGTGATAAAATCCAAGCAAGCTCTCAAATGGGAGACAGTAAAAGCGGATGGGCTTGGATAAATTCGCTCTTAGGAAGAAAGCATAAGAATGCAAATATTAATGAACTGAAAGTAAATGATGATATTATTTCTGATGATAAATCTATTACTGAAACATTAAATGAATATTTTATAAATATTGGAATGAAAATGGCTGCTGGTTCCAATCATACTTAAGGAATAGAAAGCAAGTGTGTTCTGTTAATGATCAAACTTCTTCTGCAAGAACAATAATATGCGGAATTCCGCAAGGATCCATACTTGGTCCATTATTGTTTTTGCTATATATTAATGATATGCCTGATATTCTAGAAAGGACAACCCCATGTCTTTATGCCGACGACACTCAGATATCTTCCTCTTCGCATGATTACGATACATTGATTGACAATTTGAATATGGACCTTTCCAGTATTCATAAATGGCTGGCTAAAAACAAACTAAAATATCATAGGAAAAAAACAAAAGTCATGTTTATTGGATCTACGCATAATCTAAATCATAAAATAGGAAATAGAGCCGTTGAGATTAACAAAATCCCAGTCCCACAAACCAATACATTTAAATGTCTAGGTGTAAATCCAGATGAAAAATTAAGTTGGGAGAAACATATTGATTCTGTATGCCATAAGATTAGCGCTGGAATAGGAGCAATTAAAAGAATAAAACCTTATGTTCCACACAAAACCTTACATGATGTCTACAAAACATTAATTCAGCCTCATTTTGATTACTGTTCTCCCCTGTGGGATAACTGTGGTTTGGTGACTTCAAGACAAATTGCAAAAATTCCAAAATCGAGCAGCAAGGGTGATTACCGGAGCTGACTACGATGTAAGATCGTCTGAAGTCCTAAACAAATTAGGCTGGGAAACCCTGGCTAGGAGACGAGAACAAAACAAGCTAGTATTGATGTATAAAGTCTTGGGGAACTACACTGCGCCAAACCTTAAAGATCTTTTTTCTCGGAGAAATGCATCGCAGAATATTTATGATTTACGCAATAGCGAAACTGATCTCTCGTTAAAAAAACCGAAAACGGAATTTCTAAAGAAAACATTTGGATACAGTGGAGCAATTCTATGGAATAGTCTGCCGCAAGATGTCAAGGCGGCTGAGTCAATTACGTCATTTAAAACAATGGCGAAATTGCATTTAAGCAGATGATAAGCTAATTTCTCCAGGACCAAATGATGGGAGGACAATATAGATTGTGGGCGGGAGGGGGGTTAGTTTTGCGTGAGGGTGGGTGGGTACTTGTTTAGGGGGTGGAGGTTTGGGAGGAAGATGATAATATTTTAGGGTGGGATTCTTACATATTTTGTTCTATATATAATTAACATTTAGCTCTTTGTGTGTATACGCCCTTCGTGGAAACCAGTTGTAAATAATTGTCGAAGTTAGCGTATTGAAATAAAGTTTTACATACATATTATCTATGTTAGTCAACGTTTATTCATAAATCTGGTCGTTTCACCGTGTGTATTGTATTTTTACCAAATCCACCAATAGCAATGTCCAGTTTCTCTATTGTTTGAGTCTAAAACATTGCTATTGGTTAGTTGGGCAAGAATACAATACACACGTGACGGTGAACGACCAGATTTATGAATAAACGTTGACCAACATAGATAATGAGTTATATTGTTATTCTAATTAGTTTCACAGCCATCTGCCCTTCGATAGGCTATGATCGGACAAAAGGTAAAATTTGGCTGGACAATGTCCGATGACCGGCACTAATTTGCAGGCCTGGCTACGTATTCTGGACCTGACAATAATACCTTCTCATGGGAGCAACAGAGAATAAACTGTTATGTATTCTAGTCATTGTCAACATCTGAGAAATACTGGAGACACCTTTTCCTTCATCAGATATCTAAATATTAAAAACAATGCCTGGTGAAAATAAGTCAAATTACAAAATCAATGACACTTTAACCGAGACACTGTTAGGGTATGATTGCATGTACTAGCTATAACAGACTTATTACCTCCTTGATGAGAATAAATACCTTATACGCTGTGGTGCCGTCCAACAATAACTCTGCAGTCGGCAATTGTCTGGTTCCTAATTTGTTCTTGAGTTTTTGAATTTGTATTCCATTTAATCCACCATCTTTATTTCTCGTTTCAAGATAAAATAACGAAAGACCTTTTGAACCCTTGAAAAAAATCGATGGCAATGCACCCTTCACTATTTTACCCTGTCTAATGCCAGATGACTTTACTTGTCAAGGGGATCCTCAAGTGCTACCACTGAATGTATCACCACAAAATGTACCACCACTCAATGGGTCGTAAACAATATGGTACACAAATAAATGAAGCCAAGAAGTTATTTCACTCAATAAAAAAAGTACTTATTATGGTGAATTTAAACCACATCAAATTTTGTTTCAATCTCGATCTAAGTCACACAAAATATATAGTAGCACTTACTGGTACAGTGTTACCATGAGCATCACATATTCTTGCCAAGGTTAGAGTCATGTCTGCATCTGTGGCTGATGAAAACCATTTATACCCAGAAAGTTTATACGTGCCGTCAGCTTGAGCTTGGGCGATTGTCTCTGTACCATGTGCTGGTCGTAAATATCTTAACATTAGTTACAGACTGATTAACCAACCTACCTACCTACCTACCAACTCACTCACTGACTCACTGACCAACTAAATGACCGATCAATCAACTGACTGACCGTCAACTGATTGACCGACTGACCAACCAACTGACTGACTAACCGACCAACCAACCAGCTGACCACCTGACTCAGGCCTTAGAATATGGGTCGGTCGCGGACATTGTCCGACCCATTCGTCAAATTGTCCGACGTAGAGAGGAAACCACCGGACATTCTGTCCGACCTAAGTGAAAGTGATGTTTATTCTTTGTCCGACCCAAGTGAATTGGTGTCCGACCGAACTGTAGCTTTGTTCGACGCTTTCTCCACGCACGTAAATCTTGGCTTCGAAATAAGTATGAATGACACAAATTATTTAATATCTTCACAACATTTAGTTCTGAATTAATATGTTGTGCTGATATTTGCGTCATTCAGACTTATTTCCGAGCCAAACTGAATTGAATGTCATCAGACATCATCATACATATGCCCGACCCAAACTCAAAGTCATCGGACATTTTGTCCGACGGCCCTGTAAAAGATATTTTAAGGCCTGCTGACTGACTAACTGACTGACCAACCAAGCAGCGGACCAATTGACTGACTGACTAACCGACCAACCAACCGACCAACCAACCAGCTGACCATTTGACTGACTAACCAACTGACTAACTAAACAACTAACTAACCAACTGACTGACTGATTGACCGACTAACTGACTGACTGACTGACTGACTGACCAACCGACTGACCAACCCGACCGACCAACCGACTGACCAACCCGACCGACCAACCAACTGGCCAACCAACCGACCAACTGACTGACTAACCAGCCAACCAACTGACCGACCAACCGACTGACTAACCGACCAACCAACTGACTAACCAACCAACTGACCAATCAGCTGACTGACTAACTGACTGACTAACTGACCAACCGACCGACCAACCGACTGACTAACCAACCAACCAACTAACTAACTGACTAACTAACCAATCAACCGACCAACCAACTGACTAACTGACCGACTGACTAACCAACTGACTAACCGACTGACTAACCAACCAACCAACTAACTAACCGACTAACTAACCGACCGACCGACCAACCGACTGACCAACCAACTGATTAACCGGCTGACTAACTGACCGACCAACCCCAACGACCAACACCACCGACCAAACCCACCGACCAACCAACTAACTGACTAACCAACCAACCAACTGACCAACCGACTAACTGAATGACTGGCTAACCAACTGACTAACCGACCGACCGACTGACTGACTGACTAACCAACCAACCAACTAACCGACCAACCAACCAACCCCCGGCGAAAATTTGATGAATTATTCATGAAACATTCATGAATTTTGTTCATGAACTTCCATCAAAAGTACATGAACTCTTCATGAATGTGCATGAACGTTAAATGGCACAGTTCATGAAAGTAACAGTTCATGAATAACAAGTTCATGAACTTTTTTGTTCATGAACAGTTCATGAACTAATGTTCATGCATTTTTGAAGAGCAAATCATGAGCTATACTCATGAACTTTTCATGAATTTTCTCATGAACATTAAATGGCACAGTTCATGAAAATTGCTGTTCATGAATACTTCATGATCTTGTAATCATGAACATTTCATGAATCATTCACGAATAATTCATG